TTAGGGAGCTTGTTCAATTTCTTTTTCTGAAATGGGGTTAAGTATTTTATTTCCTTTTCCCTTAATCTGGGCAATTTATATGTTTGTAAATATTCATCCATTTCACTAAGGTTGTTAAATTTATTGGCATACAGTTGGGCAAAATAGCTCCTAATTATTGTTTTGATTTCCTCTTCATTGGTGGTGAATTCACTCTTTTTATTTTTGATGCTGGTAATTTAGTTTTCTTCTTTCTTTTTTTTTAAATTAAATTAACCAAAGGTTTATCTATTTTATTGGTATTTTTTTCATAAAACTAGCTCTTAGTTTTATTTATTAGTTCAATAGTTTTCTTCATTTCAATTTTATTAATCTCTCCTTTACTTTTCAGAATTTCTAATTTGGTGTTTAATTGAGGATTTTTAATTTGTTCTTTTTCTAGGATTTTTAGTTCCATGCCCAATTCATTGATCTCTTCTTTCTGTATTTTATTCATATAAACATTGAGAGATATAAAACCCCCTAAGAACCATTTTTGCTGCATCCCAAAAAGTTTTGGTATGTTGTCTCATTATTATCATTCTCTTGGATGAAGTTATTGATTGTTTCTATGATTTGTTTTTTGACCCACTCGTTCTTTAGGATTAGATTATTTAATTTCTTTCTTTCTTTTTTTTTAGGCAATTGGAGTTAAGTGACTTGCCCAGGATCACACAGCTAGTAAATGTCAAGTGTTTGGTCTGATGCCGGATTTGAACTCAGGTCCTCCTGACTTCAGGGCCGGTGCTCTATCCACTGTGCCTCCTAGTTGCCCCTAGATTATTTAATTTTTAATCATTTTTTAGTGTATCTTTCCATGGCCATTTATTGCATATAATTTTTATTGCATCATGATCTGAAAAGAGTGCATTTAATATTTCTGCTTTTCTGCATTGGATTGTGAGGTTTCTATGCCTCAGTGTGTGGTCAATTTTTGTGTAGGTCCATGTACCACAGTATATTATTTTCTATCCCCATTCAATTTTCTCTAGAGGTCAACCATATCTAACATTTCTAAAATTCTATTCATCTCTTTAACTTCTTTCTTATTTTGTGGTTTGATTTATCTAATTCTGAGAGGGAGAGGTTGAGGTCCCTCATGAGTATAGTTTTGTCATCTATTTCTTCCTGCAAATCTCTTAACTTCTCCTCTAAGAATTTGGATGCTATACTACTTGGTGCATATATGTTTTAGTACAGCATCCACTTCTTGCTACTTCCAAACTCTTCCCCATTCTAGACTATCTTACATATGGAGGTCAAATTTTACTTAAATACCTTATCTGCCTTCCCTGGTCATGAATTTATTGTGGCTCTTTGGTTTATCAAACTGAGTTCAAACTCCTTTTATTGGCTTTTGAATCCCTCCATAATCTGGTCCCACAATCCTACTCTTACTTTATTTCCCAATATTTACCAATACATTCCTTTACTCTCATAAGGCAGGTCCCTTCATTGTCCATTTCATTCACCATGCTTATTCCCACATGTATATTTCCTTCACTTGGAATGTCTTTGAGGCAACAGGTCATATAGTAGATAGAGCACTGGGCCTGAAGTCAGGAAGACTTAAGTTCAAATCCAGCCTCAGACACTTCCTAGCTATGTAGCCCTGGGCAAGTCACTTAACCTCTCTTTGCCTCAGTTTCCTCAATTACAAAATGAGATAATAACAGCACTTACCTTTCAGGGTTCCTGTGAGGATCAAATGAGATAATATTTATAAAAATGCTTAGCACAGTGCCTGTCATATAGTAGTTGCTACATAAATGCTTATTCCCTTCCCTCTTCCCTCTTCTGTTTCTCCCCTTCTGTCTTAAATCCTAAGTACTCCCTGAGACTCAATTTTTGTTCCACCTGTCTCTGAAGATTACTAATAAAGTGGGGTTGGCATCTTCCCTCTTCTTTGCTGAAGCCAGAAGGGACTGTAGAACTTCGAAAGACTTGAAAAGACTCACAAAGAAAGGCACACTTTGCCTCTCCTCAACTTTGCCCAGCCCCTCATGCAGGGCCAGAGCCTTGATCCTTATCAATGAGGAGAGAGTCCCATACCAATGGACTTTGAAACTTGGGTTACAAAAAGGCTACTTCAGCCTACTATGCCCACATCATTTCCCTACCAAGAATGCACACCTTCCCCCAGCCTACCTTTACTCATTCATCTAATAGGCCCCTTCCCAGGTATAGTTCAGCTCTCACCTTCACTATGATCCTTACTGAAGCCAATCTCTCTCTTCTCTGAATTTTTATAGCATTTACTGTCTGTCCCAGGCATTTTTAACTTACCCTTTAGAAGGCATGTAGTATAGCAGAAAGAGTGCTAGACCAGGAGTCAGGAAAGACGTGAGTTCAAATCCTAACCTCAACACTTATGAGCTTTGTGTAAAGCAAACTGATTAACATTTCTGATCTTTAATTTCCTCATCTGTACTGTAAAGACAGTACTTCTTGCACTTGTTATAACACAGGGTTGTGGGGAAAGTGCTTTGTAAACCCCACAGGGGCAGTATTGCAGAATGGCTAGAACATTGGACCTGGAGTCAGGAAAACCTAATTCTATTACCAATATTTACTAGCAAGGAAAGTCATTTCTTAAATTCTCTGAGCCTTAGTTTCCTAGGTTGTAAAAAGGGATAACAGTACCTATAGCACTTCCCTTATGGTAGGGATTCTCAAACCTTTTGGTCTCAGGCCCCTTTACACTCCTAAAAACTATCGACAACCCCCAAAGAGCTTTTCTTTTTGTGGGTTATATCTATTGATATTCGCCATATTGGGAATTAAAACGTCTTGGTATTATTTTAGAAAACAATTTTGACTTCATGGGCCCCCTGGAAGATTTTATGGAGTCTCAGGGGGCCCCAAGATCATACTATGAAAACCACTGCCTTAGCAATTAATTGTAAGTCTTCTATGAGATAATGTATGAAAAGTGCTTTACAAACTTTAAAGAGTAACACAAACGGCAATAACTATTTTATCTCAAAACATCCTAGAAATGTGAGATCTTATCACCACCTGGTATCCTTGGTTATCTTTTCATGCATTGCCTCTTCCTACTGATTTTATTTACCTTGTTATAGTTACTGCATACACTTTATCTTCTGGCTCTGTTTTCTTCCGTCTGTATTACTTCATGCAAGTCTCCCCCAATTTCCCTGAGTTTTTCATTTGTAATTCCTTACGGTGCAACAATAGTCCATTATATTCACATGTTAAATTTGTTCAACCATTAACCAGTGGTTGTTATTTTCTTTCCAGCTTTCCATTACTGCAAATAATGGTGCCATGACCTTTTTTCTTGGATCAATAACCCAGGGAAAACTTTTTATGCATTACTAAAATCATATCCCACATATACATATACACACACACATACACACACACACACACACACACATACACACACTATATATATATATATATATATGTATATATATATATATATATATAATCTCAAAGGCAGCAGGATTTTATACATATATATGGGAAATAGGGTAAAAGAAACATTATTTCAGTCATAATAAACTATAAGAAAGTACATAGACACATAGGAGACTTGGACAACTTTAGAGCTGGAGAGAGAGCTCTAGAAGTCTTCTCAAGTGAAGACGCAGCAAAGAGAGCTAGCAAAGATAAAAAGCTCTTTGTTCTAGAACATGTGTAATGGGAGAATCTGCCACTGGGACTCTAGTCCAAAAGCACACTCAAAGAGCTCTGCCTGTGGCCAGCCAGCCCTCATGTGAGTTTGATGAACCTATAATGGAGGGGCCTTGGCCCCAGTTCAGAGCACGGGCAGGTCTTCTGTGATTGTCTCCTGTCTGCTTCCTACCCAGAGCCTTTTTTAATTAGCTGCTGAGCCAGCCCTGACTATGCATACCAAAGGTGCCAACAGAGAAATCTTGTCTCTCTTCCCTGGTGGCAAATGAGGAAGAAGAATTGCAATGAACATCTGGTGAGGAGGTGAGAGAGGCACTTCTGCCCCCATCCTCTCTCAATATGTGGCCACGAAGATGTGAAACATCTATTTGGTTGCCTCCTTGCACTGGTTCTTTCTTGCTTTCAGGTGAATAAGTATTGAGATGGAGAGGATCAGGTTATATGACCTTGGGAACCTCAGAAGGTTGGAGGAGCCACCAAAGGTCCTGGGTTGGAAGTCCAGGGCAGCATCTGTTGACAGCTGCTGTAGCTGAATAATGGAGAAGCCAGCCACCAGAGCAGCCCCAAGAAACAAACTGCATGACCCAGGCTGGTAGGGAATCTACCCAGCAGCTGAGATATCGTGTCCTGCAGGCAAGGGAACAACTCTTCCATGAGCTGGACCACAGCCAGAAAGGCCTTCAGTGGGGTGAATGTTTCGTTGCAGCCATTTTTTAAAAGTTTGAGCGCATTCTCCCCAGGGACTGAAGTGGTTCCCCAGACCTCTCAAAGCTCACAAGGTCGCAGTCTAATCTACTCTTTCTCAATAATCCATTCACCTAAATGCAAGAAAGAACAAAGTCATAGACAAGAAAGGAGGTTCCATGTGTCCACAGCCACATGGCGATGGAGGATATGGCAAAGGGAGCTATGCACCAGCTTCTCTCACCAGAGGTGTATTGCTTCTGGGAAGAGAGATTGAGTTTCTCTGTTGGAGCCTTTTGTATGCACTGCCAGGCCTAGCTCAACCATCAATTAAAAAGGCTTTTATTGACTACACAGTAACTGGACAGGTGCATGTGCTCCAAAATGAGGGCAAGGTCCCTTCAGAAGCAGGTAGTTCTGCTTTCAAAAGCAAGATCACCAAACTGTCAACCTGGGTTGGCAGCAGGCATGCTCTGAGGACTGGATCCCTATTGGCCAGTCTCCCTTCCCCCTCCCCATTATGCATTTAAATCAAATCAGATAAAAAAAGACATTCAGTATGTATCTTGTTCAAGGCACCAAATTAGGTCATCTGTTAGATCTTAAATCACTTTTTTTTCTTTTTCTTTGGAACTCAGGACTATGGAAACTGAAGTCGTTACAAAATCTGGATCTGTCATCCAATGCCATATCACAGATTGACCTGACTGATTTTCAAAACTGCCTGCAGCTGGAGAAGCTTTATTTACAAAATAACAAGATATCCAAGATTCATCCAGATGCCTTCAAGGATCTCAACAAGCTTCAGGTTCTAAAAATCAGCTTTTGTCATACTAAATATATATGTCTACATATTTTTTAGGTAGTCAGTTTTTCAAACAGTCTCCATTTCAATGTCCTCACTATCCCATGATGCTAATCAATCATCTAGAAAAGTGAATGCATTTTTTGATCCCATAGAGCAAGAGTGGGGAGCCCTTGGCTGTGAGGCCACATGTGTCCTTCTAGGTCCTCAAGTGCAGCCCTTTGACTGAATCCAAACTTATAGTTCTGTGAAGTTACATTCTGTCATTTGTATTCAGTCAAAGGGCTGCATTTGAGGATCTAGAGGGCCACATGTGGCCTCCAGGCTGCAGATTCCTCACTCCTGCCATAGAGGAGTTGATGTAATCTTTCTTACCTAAAAAACACAGGCCAATTTCAGAGGAAGTATGATTACCTCAAAAAGTCTTCAAACTTAAGGCAATAGAAGCCCAGAAATATTCAACACATAATAAATATTGGGAGGAGAGACACCTTTGTGATCAATCCCTTCAGTTTCTGTTGCCACGGTAATAGCACAGCCTATGCCAGGCTATGTAACAAGCTTCCATTAGTGTTGGGCTTGGTTACCCAAAGTCATGGAGAACAGAAATAACACAAATGTCTGAAAGCTATGACTAATCCTTAAGCTTCAGTTTAACCATAAGTTTCAATCCTCCCAGTCCTGTAGCCCACATTTCCTGGGCCTGGGCACAGGTGGCAAAAAGACAGAGCTTAGTGTCTTGACCTTCCACTTCCCCAGCCACCCTCTGGTGATGGAGAGGTCAAAGACAATGGGAATGATTAAAGAGAGAGAGGAAATGCTTGCAATAAGGCAGATGTCAACCTGGGAAGAACAAAAACAAAACAAAAACCATTTACCTAAAGCTATAAAGATTCTGGAGAATGCAAACATGAAAGAACCTAGAACTTAAAAGAATCTGGAACTCAACCAACTGGGAATTAAGTCCTAATAATGTGGCCTTGGGCATGCCAGTCACTGGGACTCAGTTTTCTTATTTGTACAATTAGAATACTCATACTACCAACTTCACAAAGTTGTTGTAAAAGTTAAATTAGAAGGAAAACTTGAGGGCAGGCACTGATTCACTTTTGTATTTGTATCTCCAGCACCCACCATAATGGGTGCTTATTAAGGGCTTACTGATTGGTTGATCAAATGATACAATGAATCGAAAGCCTTTTATACATATATAGGTGGTAGTAGGTACTGGTATTGGAATGAATGTAATGGAATAAATGGATAATTATGGCCAGAAAAGCAAATCCCTACGTATAAGATAAAGAACTGGTCCAGGAAAATGTAGAAGAGGAAAGTGGGGTGTCATACTAGACCATTAAGCTGAATATTCTGATAAATGTGCTATTTAAAAAAAAAAAAAGGAAGCAAGCATGATCTTAGCATGTAGAAACAAGAGTTAAACATTCTTTTAAAATCATGAGGCTTTCTCCCTGCTACAAGAAATCCCATTGCAACAAACTCTCCAGAATTCTTAAAACAGAATGTTGTAGGATAGGCAGTATCATATGGACAAGGAAACCAGAACTGAACTCAGATTCTAGAAACTCGGGTTTTCTTCCTGGCTCTGCCATCCCATAGCTATAGGATTTGGGGCAAGTCCCTTAATTTGTGGGAACATCAGTTCCTCATCTATAAAATGAAGAATTACGACACACAAATGCTAAGGTCCTTTCTAGCCCTAATGAGCTTAGGTTCTTTCATTATTCAAAACAAGAGAGCCATGGGCCGTGGCTTAGAAATATTTGGTTAGGTGGGATTTTATAAGATTTCATAGAGTCATACATCCAGAGCTGGAATGGACAGTCAGAGGCTGCCCTTTCCAACCTCTTCCTTTTACAAGCCTGAGGCTGTAGGAGGTTATTTATATAAATTGCCCAAGGTCACAGAGAAGACAACAAGAGAAGATTTGAACCTAGGTTCTCTGATCCCAGAACCAATGTCCTTTCCACTGTATCGTTTGTCATAGTAGAGTTTCACTTCTATATTCAGTGTGAATCAGACCACATAAAAATATTCCATGAAAGATGCTACCCTGAAGCAACACCAGCTCTCAGGCCCATGTCAGCTGTGTTTTCACAGTCCCAGAAGCAGCAACAGAAAGCTTCTGGATTGAGGCTTAATGGTCACACCAACCCACGATTCAGTAACAAATATTTATCAAGCTGTCAATAAATATTAAAATATTTATACACAGTGCTGGTCACTGGTAATGCAAAGATGAAAAATAAGATGACCTTTGCCCAGGTCTAATGGGGGTGAGAGAGAGGGAAATGCATGCAGCTAGGTGGCACAGTGGATAGAGCCCTAGGCGGGGGTCAGGAAGACTCTTCTTCCCGAGTTCAAATCTGGCCTCAGACACTTACTAATTGTGTGACCCCGGGCACATTACTTAATCCTGTTTGCCTCAGTTTCCTCATCTATAAAATGAGCTGGAGAAGGAAATGGCAAACCACTCTAGTATCTTTGCCAAGAAAACCCCAAATGGGGTCACAAAGAGTCAGACACAACCGAGCTGTGTAATTATATGGTAGGAAAGTATTAGAAGTTAAACAGACTGGCCTAAGAGATTTGACAAGGGAGAAGGGAGGATGATGGAAGAATTGGTATCTGAGGTCAGCTTTGAGGAAAGAAGGATTTAAGTAAATAAAGATGCATTGTCTCTTCCCTCTGCCTGTACTAGGATAGGCCAGTATTTCAGGAACAGTTACAAATTTTTCCAAGACACACTCAAAGAAAATGGCCCTAGATTTAAGGCTGGAAGGGACCTTAGAGGTCATCTGCTCCCACACCCTCATTTTTCAGAGCAAGAAAAATGAGGCAGGTCACTGACTTGCCCAAGGTTTCACCGGTAGTAACAGAACTGGATTTTAATTCACTTATGTTCTATCATTCCAGATCTATCATTTTTTCCACTATGCTATGTGCCAACAGTGCTTCTCACTACCTCCAACCAAGGAATTGGAGGGTTACTTTTTTCCCACTTTGCACGACGGACCTTAGCCCATTTCTGCCTGCCCACGTCATACCTGGGTTCCTGAAGTGGTTTATCAATATATCATATGCTTAATAATTTTTTCAGCTACAAATTTTCCGTAGTATGAGAGATTTTGAGGGATAAACGAACCGACTGTCACAAAAGCCATTTACAGGCTATAGACACCAATGTTTGTTCGGTTAGTTGCCTGGTTTGGTTTTTCAGTTTCAAATTATTTCACCCTCAGGCCAATCAGCTACTTCTTAGTACTAGACCTGACGAAAACAGGTCCTTTCTGGCTGACCTCCAAACATAAACTCCAATTTCAAACTGAACATATACCCTCTTGAATCCTTTTCTCCCTCCCTCTCTTTCCTACTCTCCCTCCTCAAAACCATTTCAGCTTCTGACCACCACCTCCTCCAATCTGCCCTTTCTTCTATCAGCCACCCCTCTTCTCTTGCCCCTGAATCCTTATACCTGAATCCTCAGCTACTTCATTGTCTGCCTCCCTAGATTCGAGTACCAGAATCTCATCAACCAGCCTCATTCCCCAAGTATTTTCTGCCTAGCTCAGAGTCCACAATGGATTTCTAGATTCCTTTTTTTTTTTTGCTTTGACTAACTTCCACTAGCCTTTTTTTAGTGCTTCTAGCCATCTTCCTCTTTATTTAATTGTCTCTAATTGTACCTTTTAAGGTAGCATATTTGGTGCCATAGACAAATAATTTGACGAAATGAATAATGTGCCTGCCTTAGAGTCTAAAAGACAGATTCAAGCTCTACCCCAGACATATACTGATTGTCTGATTACCGGCAATGCCCTTAGGCAAGTCTCTAAGCCTGTAAGTGAAGATAAGTTGCCAATATAAATTAGTGGAAGAAGTTTCTACACTGGGAGCTCCTCACAGCAAAGGAATCATAGGTCCAGACAAAATTTCTTCATTCATACTTCCTCCCTATCCATGGGAAGAGCTGGTTAGGAGGCATTTTACTCCATGAAATCAAAATTTTTAATAGTCAACAAATAATAAGCACAGTAGGATCTTGTTGTCTTCCCTTCACCTTCCAGACAACAGCACAACTATAAAAATGTAGTCTGCTGTAGAATATAATTTGGAAAAGCTTGTTTGTTCCCTTCTAACACTTTCTCCAAAGACATCCGTGATGGAGATATAGTCTCACATATAGCAGTAGAAAAGTAGGCATAACTGTCTACAGTTATTAATTAATGTTCTTTTTTGTTTATTTGTTTTTTGCTAGGCAATGGGGTTAAGTGACTTGCCCAGGGTCACACAGCTAGTAAGTGTCAAGTGTCTGAGGCCAGATTTGAACTCAGGTCCTCCTGACTCCAGGGCCAGTGCTGTATGCACTGTGCCACCTAGCTGCCCCTATTAATATGCTCTTGATCATCTTTTTTGTAATAATAAGATTCATTATTTTTTCCAACCATTATTATCCTCCCCTAAGGGTTTCACATTTAAAGTACCAACAGCTAAATTAATGTTTATAAGGGGCAGCTAGGTGGCACAGTGGATAGAGCTCTGGCCTTGAAGTCAGGAGGACCCAAGTTCAAATCCAGCCTCAGACAATTGACACTTATTAGCTGTGTGACCCTGGGCAAGTCATTCAACCCTGACTGCCTCAGCAAACAGTAATTAATTAATTAATGTTTATAGGTGATCTAAAAACTGTGTAATTTCTGGCCCATTTCCCATCACTCGTCTTCTCACTATAGAAGGAGTAGGAAGGGTGCCACACAAAATTGAGTATCACTTTTTTTTTTCACGAGTTGTCGTAGCCAAAGAATTCAGCATCAAGGGGCCAGATGATTTACTAAGCTAGTCTTCAGAAAGCAAATTCAATCCACTGGAGACAATATACTTGAAGCCCTCCAAGCATGGTAGAATGTACCAGGCCATTATCATAGCCTTTGAGAACCTAGGCTCACCTTCATGCCAAAGTGAGGCATCAGAGTAGGATTTTATGGAGGTTGTAAACTTCATGTACTATAGAAATGTTAGCCATTGGATTTCTGGCCAAGATGGCTGAATAAATGGGAGGTGTACTATCCACCTCTCACATGTGTACTCTAGCAGAACCTTAAAGTTGGCACTAGATTGAGTAATGATCAATAATTTCGATAAGAAACAATAATTAGGTACTACTTCCACCCCAGAATTACATAAAACATCAGCCAAAAGCCTGGCAAATAGGAAAAAGGACTGCCAGTAAAGATAACAGCAGTACAAGGCAGACCCAGAGTGACCAGAGAGGGACCAGGGACACGTGTAGTTTGCAAAGCATTGTGTCCAGAGGCATCAAGAATGGACAGCTCAGTTAGGGAAGCCCCAGGGAGACCTCGAAAGTACCAAGGAACGCCATCAGGAAGCAACAGTGACCAGGTATGTGTCATAACTCTCAGATCGGGACACTCTAGGCCTGGAGGCTCTAAGGCCCTTAGAACTCTGTCCCGAGATGCCAAAGGAGCTGAAGATCCAGTACTTTGAACTTCAAAGAACAGGGGGAACTAAACCCAGTAGGTAGAGGTTAGCAAAGAAACCCAAGTGACTCTGTTCAAGACCGAGCAGGGCTATCCCGTGCACAAGTGGAACCTGGACCTGGAAAAAAATATCAGAAACTAAAGATGGAGAGATGAGTAAATCAATGAAAATACCTACAAGTATTTTTAAATTGTGAAATCTCTAAAGGTTCCCACAAAGTAAGAGAGTGATTTTGTAACAACTAGAAGCATAGATTCAAAGGAGAAAATGAATATTCCATGAAGACTACATGAATATCTCAAAGGAATTAAACAAAAGATAAAAAACGAAATAAAATCCTTTCAGGAAATAATTGGAAGGAGGATAAGTGGCTTAGAAGAGAAATTAGTAAATCTTACTCAAGTAACAGTCTCCTTGAAAACTAGAATAGTATAAGCAGAAATCAATAACTCTATAAAACTGCAAGAAATATTGAATAAAACCAAAAGATTGAAAAATGGAAGAAAATACAAGCTATCTTCTATTAAAAAAAAATAACCTAGGGAGGAAAAAGCAGAAGAGAGAGAATTTAAAAACCTATGGACACCCTGAAAACTTTTTTTTAAAAGCCCTACAACTATTTTTCAAGAAATCATAAATAAAAGCTGCCCAGTGCAGTAAAACCAGAGAACAAAGTGGAGGTAGAAAGAATCTACCAATAACCTCCTGAAAGAAATCACAAAAGGAAAAGGCCCAGCAAAAATCCAGAGCTATACATATACATACACACACACACACACATACACACACACACACACACACACACACACACACACACACACACACACACACACATTGCAGTCATCTAGAAAGAAGTTCAAGTACTTTGGGAACACAGTCAGAATAACACCATACCTTATACTACAAACGAAAGGAGGTCTTGGCATATAATATTCCAATAGGCAAAAGAATGAGTTACAACCAAAAATAGCTTACCCTGAAAAATTAAGTATAATCCTGAGGGTGAAAAAAATAGATTTTCAATGGAGCAGAGGAATTTAAAACATTTCTGATGAAAAGGTCAGAGCTGAGAGGCAACTTTGAAATCCAAACACAAGAATCGAGAGAAACCTAGAAAGGTAAATTTATCTGAGCACTTGGAAGAGACTATATGGTGAGGTAATGCAAACATTGTGATAAGGAAAAAGAAAATAAATGTCCCTTCAGATTCGGAAGGTCTTCAAAGGGTATTGAGGAAGTTAAGTAGGAAAAACAAAGGACCTGGGGGTGGAATGGTTCTGTTCTGAGGATCTGAAGAGGAGAAAAGAAAGGCAGAATGTAAGGAATACATTAGTGCAGAATAAAGATGGAAGGGGATAAAATGTGGCATTTCTCACAATTGGAATGTATGAAAAGAAGAGTAAATAAATATGGAAGAAGAGTTGGGGAGAGTTGACATTAGATAAATATTACTCTTTAATTAATTAATGAAATCAACTTTAGATAAACAGAAAAGCAGAGTCAAAACCATATATATACACAGTTTGTTGCAGAAGTACATCAAACTTGACTGGGAAACAAGTGACAATAAGGAGCAGGATGAGGTTTAAGAGGAAGGACAATATCAGAGAAGGAATCACTGAAAACAAACTTCCTGATGCTGAAGAAGGTAGTTAAAAAGGCAAAAAGAAAAGAAAAAAAAACCTAGAATTTAAATAGGTGCCATAGGTTGCCTCCTAGACAACGGGGAAATGGTTGAACAGAAGACTTACGTAGAAGAGAAATTACAACTAATGTGTCCCACAGGGACAGAACAAGAAGAAAAGAGGTAGAGACTGAACTCAAGCAGGCCTTGGCTCGACGTGAAGAAATACCTTCAAAATCAAAGCAATCTAAAAGTGGAATGTGTTGCCTCCGAGAGCAGGGCTTTCCACTTCATTAAGGGCTTTAGCTGGAAACAGGTTGACCTCTTGGAGGTATATTCTTAGAGCTTAACACGGCATGTAGCATATAGTGGGTGCTTAATAAGTGCTCATTCACTCACTGACTTGAGTCAGTAGTGTTTTGCAGTACCTCTTATTCAGTGACAGGAATTCCTTTCATGGTTAAATCACTTCAAAATTATTAACAAAGATTTTATTGGAAAAATATTTCCAAGGCACAGAAATGCAGCTTATTTCTATTTGTATAACTTATAGAGGCTCTTAAAGGTACAGTTTTCATTGTTGTCTTTATTTTTTTAAAATAAATGTCCTTCACCAATTGTTCCTTCCTTTTCTGCCTTTTCAAGCAGATTGTGAATCTTAGCACTAATGCTATGACCACCATTCTACCCATGATGTTCATTGCCTTAACTCTGCCACATCTGGACGCTGACCTATCAAACAACCAATGGCAATGTGACTGTAACACATCTGTCTTCCAAAATTTCATTTCTGAATCCTGGAGGAAAAAGTGGAATAGCATTTGCAGTGAGTCCATCAGTGCGCCTGGACTATCTTTCCTCTCTCTGGAATGGCTCGATTTGAACTGTAAAATGCATATGGAAGATCTGATCTCTTTTAAAAAAGTTGCAATCCCCCATGGAGCAACAACCCTCCTAGACTGTGACTCTGATCAACCTTGGGGTAGGTTATGGATATTTGTCTGCTTCTTCCAATTCACTTGGGGTTGGCTATAGGATGTGCAAAAACACTTTGTCCAAGCAGTCACATAAAGAATCTCTTTAGGGCAGCTAGGTGGCACAGTGGATAGAGCACCAGCCCTGAAGTCAGGAGTACCTGAGTTCAAATCTGGCCTCAGACACATAACACTCACTAGCTGTGTGACTCTGGGCAAGTCACTTAACCCCAATTGCCTCACTAAATAAATAAATAGGGGGGAAAAAAAAGAATCTCTTTACATGAAGAAACCAGAAAGTGAGAGTTTCAAAGGTCATTTGACATTCATTCAGCAATTGTTTCATAAGGACCCATAATGGGTTGTGCTTGAGAGGCATTGGGCATAGTGGAGAGGGGGTTGGCTTTGGAGTAAAAGAAAAAAACAAAAACAAACCTGAGCTCAGGGTGTACCTCTGATGCATGATTACAGCCAAGTCACTTACCTTCGCAGTGGCCTGGACGGCCCTCTAAGATGGGGTTCCAGTTGAGGAGCTAGTAGGGCAAAGCAAGTTTCCATGCCAAGAGGCCCCCACAATGATGAAATGACAGGTCCAGCCCGTTTTTAGTGCATAATGCTCTATGCTAGGCACTGGAGGAGATGCAAAGATAAGTAATATAGCTCAAGACCTCAAAGAACACCACTCAGTAAGAGGGAATATGGGATGTGTACCCAGATTAATATTATATGAATTAGAATATTGTAAGTATATAGGAGGAGCACACTCTGCTAAGAAATCAGATGAGAGAAAAGCTTTTTTTGTGGGAAGAAAAAATAACAGGACAGCTTCATCTCACTTTCCAGCATGATTAATTGAAGAGAGTCTGTTATTTTAAAATGTTTACTGTGATGTTTGGTTCAAATCAACAAACTTGGTAGGCACTAGGGTTTTTTATAAAGATGAAAAAAGGGTCTAGTCCTTGCCTTCAAGGAGTTTGTGTCTTCCTGGGAGGATGGGACAACAGGGAAGTACATATGAGAATGTGTAAGGGAGGTATATAGAAGTAGAATGCAAGGTAGAGTATGATGGGCCAAAGAAGAGAGCCAGAAAAAGGGCTCTGGGGAAATTGGGGAAAAGGAGAAAGCTCTCACCTGAAGGGATGAGGGAAGGTTTCACGGAGAAAGTAGCACCTGAATCAAATCATGGAGTAAAGGAAGGCTTGAAAAGCACATGTTTTGATGAAGAAAGTGGCTTCGTTTCATGTATTTGTTACTTTTTTTGCAAATGAGTACGCATAACTGAGGGCCTGTTCACTGGGAATTCATTTTACATTAAAAGCTTCCAGATGAAAACAAAAAAAGAAGCCAGATTTTACTCTAAGGACTGCCTTTTGTGCCATCCAGAAGTGTTGTAACTTCCAGTGACTTTAGGAAAGAAAGCGGTAGAAGTTTGCTCACTACCAATTAATTAATCAACAAGTTTTTATTGAGCACCTACTATGTGCCAGGCACTGTATGTGGAGCAGGGGATACAAGTACAAAGAATGAAATAATCCCTTTCTTACAATGAGTTTGTATTCAAATGGAGGAGGCAGTACATATGAAAATACATGCCACATAAATATGAAATTAATAAATATATGCACGCAAAGGAGTTCAAAGTATTTGGGAAGGAAAGCAGTAACAGTGGGGGAACAAGGATGTGGAATCATTAGCCTGGTGCTGCCACTCTCTGGGGCAGTGCGTCAGAGCTTCCTCCTCCTAGACGAAGACATGGCTCATGTAAGAGGGCCAGTGTTTGAGACTGTGGTCTGGGCCCAAGGGAGGGACTGCAGATTCTCTGAGAGGTAACACCACCCCTTTGAGGCAGAAGCACCACTTGGAAGCACAAGAGAACCTCTATTCTGACTTTTCTGACTGACAAGGGTGAATGGATGTCCTAGCCCCAGCCTGGCTCGGGCACTGGTTTTGGAGGTTTTCTCCTCTTTAACCCCATTGCCCTGGAGCCTAGTGTTACTCTGCCCCAGCTCACTGTAACAACCCAGAGCTTGGGTGGGATGAGGCAAATATTACCGTGGTGTTCTTCACGCGAAAATAATGCTCACTGCAAAGGTCACCAGCATCTCCTTCCCCCCAACACACACACCCCATGATGCTACTATGCACACCTACAGGCCAGAGCCTAGGACTAAAATTGCAAGATAAGCATGAGTAGATTACTTTAGAAAGTTATTTTGAATGAAGTCCCATTTCAATGTCTGTCTCATTCTTGGGTTTTTTTCCCCAGTTTTAGGGGACAATGAAACATACTGGTGGACCCCCTACAACAGAATGTCTGAGAATACCCAGATTCCTCATATTAGTCTAAATCAAATGAAAAAATTAGTGATAAACAAGGCAGAGAGACCCCTAGAAGGATTGTATGTTTGCTTTTCCACTTCTGGAAGGAAGAAACACGTGATTTATGAGATCTCTGTGAAGCAGGAACGTTCTCCAAAGTGGGTGAGAAAGGCCAGGGAGATTCTCTCTTCTACCAGAGAAAAAGAGACAACACCGCAGGACCTCACTTTGGCAGTCTGTCTGTCCGTGATCATCACTTTCCTGTGTGCTTTTTGTCTTGGTGCTTTCGCAAGACCTTACATCGATCGTCTATGGCAACAAAGATGCCAGACCAAAAGTTCCGTTTCAGAAAATGCCTATTCTAATGAAGGGTTCTATGATGATGTAGGGATTACAGGAAACCCAAAACCCCTACCTGAGAGTCGCCATCAAGATGCGTGTAGTATGAGTATCTATGAAACTACAGAATCTCCAGACCTGTACTCTGACATTGATGTGGGAACACCCAGAGCAAACAAAGTGTGGAAAGACCAGGAGCAGAGAAGGAGCAGAGCTGTCCCAGCAGATAGGAAGAGAAATGAAAACATACTCCCAAAAAACCATGATGCCTGTTCAATTGGCTCAGAAGACATGAATGTGGTCTACAGTGATGTAATTTCAGTAAAGAGGGAGCATATTGATGGGAAAGACATTCTCAGAGAATTAGCAAAGGACAATTCTTTCCATGAGGATTCAAGGAGAGCCTCTTCTATAGACAAAAGCTTACAAAAAGACGTTGGTTCATTCCAAAGTCATTCTCCTGAGTTAGACCTGACATACTCAAGGGAAATGATATTTCCTTCTCCTCAAATGTCAATGTGCCCCAAAGCCCAGAGCTTTAGAGAAAGTGTAGAAATAGATGAAGTTGCACACTTGCCCTCAGAAGTTAGAGGGGCTCAGAAGGAGTTTCCTAAGGAAATGCAACTGAGTTCTCACTTGCATCCTCCAAACATTCAACAACAAACACTCAGTAGGAGCAATTCTGGATCACAATATGAAGTGAATGAGAATGGGACTGTACTCAGTGATGACCCAAGAGATTTTAATCACCCCAGCCTGCTTCCCAATTGGGAAAATGTCTTAGATGTTGATCATCCTCAACACAATCTAACACCAAGTTCCTTTTCTGATCATCAAAACACAAAAAATATCAACAATGAAGACATACTCACAGATAACAGCTATGAATCAGATGAAGGGTCATTGTTTACTTTAAGCTCCACTGATTCAGAGTATGACTGGAAAAATATTCAAGAACAGCCACATAGTGAGAGAGATCAGGTAGCCACATGGCCATCAATGGAGGAGAACTGTATAATTAAGGGTTCATCCAATAGAATGGACAATATCCAATCAGAAAGTCCTGAGGACAATGCTAGTATTCAAAAGACTTTAGAGAAATGTGAGACTGAAAAAAAAGAACATTCTGAAAACATTATTTCTAGACCAGATATTAATTTGTCTGAGACAGATTTACCAACTTATCAGATGAGTAGTAGCAGTAAAACTAGAACACAAGAATACTCACCCAGCTCGTTGGCCAGCAGTCCTGTAAGTGTTGAAATTCCTGGCACGTTCATCTATGATCATGTTTTGACTCGTGGTCCTGAGCCATCAGAATGGCATCATTCATGGGAAAAACAAGAACGAGTCCCCATTGCGAATTTTTCACCCCAACAAACCCCATTCGGGTATCCTGGAATCCCATCAGATAGTGAGAACAGTGATTTCAAAGAAATGGATACACAGATTCATGAATACGATACCCACATGCAGATAGCAGACACTATTAGAAAGGAAACTCTTCCTGAGATCAACCCAGAGGAAAAAATGAAAAGTTCACAACAGAGTTTTGAAGGTAATGACATAGAATTAAATGTAATTGACTCTATTGACCGGAAAAAAGACCTTCTATTTCCCTCGATGGACTCTGGTTCCACATGGATTACAATCCAAGCACAGTCCCCACAATCTGTTGCCTCCAGTGATGAACATTCTTTTCAGTCAGAAAGACAGGAGGAACATTTTGAAGCCTACACCAAGAAACAGGTACCACTGCAGCAGCAAAAGCTTACTAATAAAGATAAGACCAGTTTACTAAGAATACAAAAGGACTTTAGTGATAATCATTGGGGCCAATATTCAGAAGAAGATATGTTGGAATTAGATAAAAACTATCCTAACTTTTGTACAAATGAACCACAGCTCCAGCGTCTCATAGATCCCTCAGTTGGTAGTGATGGAAATAGTGACCCACAAAATGATAATAAAAGAGAAGAAGGAAATTAGCATTTTTAAAAGTATATTGTCAAGGGGCAGCTAGGTGGCACAATGGATAGAGCGCCAGCCCTAGAATCAGGAGGAAATCTGGCCTCAGACACACTTACTTAATGGCTGTGTGACTTTGTGCAAGTCACTTAACCCCAATTGCTCACCAAAAAAAAAAAAGGTGTACTGTGGAATCTTTAAATGAAAAGACTCAAACTATTTCAGAGAATTTGCCATGTACCAAAGATGGACGCAATCTCAGGAGAGCAGACCATGAAGCTTTCTATGGAAAATAAGAATGTAAATGAGAATTCCATAGATAGGTGATTTATATTGTGTTAAAAGAGGGCCGTTTTGTTAGATACACTGTACATATTTCGTCAATTAAGAAGAAAGGCTTTTTATGAAAGAAAAATGCTACTTACTCTGGTAGTATCAAGAAGAGTAGGAAAACCATGTCAGAAATACATAATGTGATTCATAATATACAGTACAGAGAACACCAAAGCTCTGAAGTCAGGGACATAAGTTCTTATCTGGCCTCTTAGTGCTTACTACCTATATGACCCTGGACAAATTAGTTAACCTTTCTGGGCCTTGGTTTCCCCATTTGTAAAATGAAGGGATTATCACTAGAAGTCCTTCTCTGAGGTCCGTTCCAGATTGTGAGATGGTTAAACGGTTCTGTAATATAATTTGACTCTCCAAGTCTAAAATCTTGAATAGTCAATGTTAGTTTAATCAACTCTTACATAACAATATTTACTAGCTAATACCACAGAATAACTTTTTTGTTTTTTAAATATTAATAAATAAAAATGTAAAATAATTGTACACATAGTTTAAAATATCTCTTCTTTCAATTCTTAGTTCACATTTCACAAGTACTATGAAACACCATATTTACAATTTGTAGTTTCCCAATATTTGTGACTTTGTGGGGGGTAGGGGGGAGGGTATAGCATCAACTTTCCTGACTTCTGAAAAAAACATGATCATTTACATCTCCTTTTCCCTCCCACCCTTTTCCCCCAGCCACTACCATCACATTTAAGTCTGGCCCTCCAGATGTTATTCTGCCAAAGGAGCCTGTCCTCAGACTAATGTTGAGACATCAGGGGGGAAATACTTGGTAGCAGTGGCTTTAGGAATAAGGGCCAACATCAGAGAAACAAAGACAGTATATCCTTCTTCTGCCAAGTTTGGGACCAAACCCTAAAAGGAGAAAGCAGGGAAAATGTAAATTGTGGAAGGGGGGGTAGTTTCTGGCTAGTCACCCAGTCTGACTTTCACTCAGGGCCAATACTTCATATAGACAGAGAAGGTGCCCACTCATAAAAGGTAACAAGCTTACACTTGTGTCCGAATGTCTCCTCTACCAGCATGTTACAGTGCTAATCTTTGCTCTATCTGGCTTGAAGTGCTTACCCTTAGAGTCATTCATTCCTTTGAGTGAGGCAAAAAATGTAGGGACTACTGTTTTAAAATTCTCTCTCCTGGATCTTTTTTCAGGTGAGTTGTTTTTCCAATGATATATTTCACATTATCTTCTATTTTTTCATTCTTTTGGTTTTGTTTGATTGTTTATTGATTTCTCATAAAGTCATTAGCTTCCATTTGCTCCATTCTAATTTTTAGGAAGTATTTTCTTCAGTGAGCTTTTGGACCTCCTTTTCCATTTGGCCAGTTCTGCTTTTTAAGGTATTCTCCTCATTGGTTTTTTGGACCTCTTTGCCCATTTGGCCTAGTCTATTTTTAATGTGTTATTGTCTTCAGTATTTTTTTGTGGCTCCTTTACCAAGCTGTTGACTCGTTTTTTCATGATTTTCTTGCATCACTGTCATTTCAATTGCCAATTTTTCCTCTACCTCTTTTACTTGATTTTCAAAATCCTTTTTGAGCTCTTCCATGGCCTGAGATCAATTCACATTTTTCTTGGAGGCTTTGGATGTAAGAGCTTTGACTTTGTTGTCTTTTTCTGAATGTATGTTTTGATCTTCCTTGTCATGATAGTACTTTTGCATGGTGGGTTTTTTTTTCTGTTGTTTTCTCATTTTCCCAGCCTATTAGTTGACTCTTTATCAAAGTAGGGCTCTGCTTCCAGGGTGGAAGGTGCAGTGTCCCAAGTTTCAGGGGTTTTGTGCAGCTATTTTCAGAGATACTTCTAGGGACCTGCAAGTTTTTAGTTCTTCAAAGGTGCTATGATCAAGGGCAAGGTGTTTACTCTTTTCCTGGCCTGTGCTCTGGTCTATGAGTGACCACAAGCACTCTTTTCTGCCCTAGAACTGTGACAAGGGTTCCTGCTCCACTGTGGCCACCAGCTCTGGTGTGCTAATGCTCCTCCTTGCCCTGGAGCTGCCACCCAGGACTGTGACCCACCCGAGTATAGGCAAAGCAACAGAGTACTGCTTCAATATTAGCAAAAAGGCCCCTGTAATCTCCTTCTGACCAGTTATTTGACCTCCTTACCGTCTGTGGGCTGAGACCTCTGGAAACTGCCGCTGCTGCCAGTGACTCAGTTGGCCCAAGGCCTGCTCCAAGTTTGCCAGGGCCTGGTCTGTGCTGGTGCAGCTTGTGTTGGACTGTGCTCCTCTCTCATCCTGGTGCAGCAGACCTAACCTGCCAACCTCCCAAGTTGTCTTGGGCTAGAAATTTGTTTCATTCCACCTTTTTGTGGGTTCTGCTGCTCTAGAATTTGTTTAGAGTCATTTTTAAAGGTATTTGGAGGGGTTTGGGAGAGAGTTCAGGCAAGTGCCATGCAGGGACTGCTGTTAAAATATATAGGCCAAGGAGGTGTCAGACAACATTCTTTCACTAATGCATTCCCATAGATCAATTTATAAATTAAGTTGGTAATTTTGAAAGTGGGTACATGCACAACGGGGCATACTAAAGATCATAGGAGTATAGGATTCATCTATACGAGTGTCAGACCAATCAACTGAAAGTAAATGTTAATATATTTTAATAAAGTGAAATTATTTTAAAATATTTATTTCATCTTTATCTCATCTTTTACATTATTTATTCTGTTTTATAATGTACATAATACATTAGTATAGTTTCTCACACACACATACACATATATATATTATATATTTTTTATTAATATAGATGCATTGAGAAGGTATGTTCAAAAATCTTACTGATGGCTACCTGACCAAAAAAGTTTGGAGATCATTAGATTAAACTACTTTTCAACTTAGAAGACCGAGAAAACACATACATGGCACACAGAAGTAGAAAAGAGATTGGGTGAAACATGTCAGTTACAATTCTTCCTGGGAAACTAGGGGCAGCATGTAATTTTAATTTTTATTGCTATCTTTTGTTTTCACATTGCCAAAGTTTTCTCCAGATTCTCTCTTCCTCCTACCATCCCAGACAGCCATCTCATTTAACAAATATTTTTAAATAAAAGAAAAATAGGAAGAAGGGGGGAAAAAATCAATATTGATTAATGCATTTTTAAAATCTGAAAATATATGCCATGTTCCAGGCCCAAAGACCTCCCACTTCTGCAAAGGAGTGAGGTGGAATCTCTTCTGATATCTCTTCTTCAATGCCACAGTTTTTTGCAATTTTGCAACATATACTTTTGATTTTTTTGTGTGTGTGTGGTCATTCTTTCCATTTAAATCATTGTAGTCATTGTGTATATTGTTTCTTGGCTCTGTCTGCTTATCTCTGCATCAGCTCCTGTAACTCCATTCTTCTCTGTATTCATCATATTTGTCACTTCTTACAGTGAAGCAAGAATTCCATTATATCCTACATACATAATCCCATCATATACTACAATGTATTTAGCCATTTCTCAATTGACAGACATACCTAGTTTCTGATTCTTTACTACCACAAAAAGTGCTGCTATAAATATTGTGATGTATATAAGGGCTTTCTTCTTATCAGTTACTTCCTTGCATGGTAGTAGAATCTCTGAATCAAAGGGTACGGACATTTTAGTAATTTTATTGGCATAATTTTAAATTGTTTCCCAAAATATCTGTACAGACTCACAGCTCCATTAACAATCTATTACTGTACACTTCCCACAATACTGATTTTTCCCATCTTTGTCGTCTTTGCCAATTTGCTGAAGTCACAGGGTTATTTTGATTTGTATTTATTTTGCTGTAACTGTTTCGGAGCATTATTTCATATGGTTATTACTAGTTGGCAATTCTTTTGAGATTTCAAAGGACAACATTCATTCTTTTGCTCCCCCCTCCCAAGATCCCTTAAGTAGAGTTTTCTCTCTGCAGTACTCTTCCTCCTATAAGTTAATTATTTTAGGGGAACCATACTCTGAGGTATTTCAGGCAGTCAAGAGGTGACAAAAGGGATACTCAGTTTTCCAAATCTTAAGCCTCATGCTATGATGATGGTGGCTATTTGCCACTTAATTTAGCCCCAAGATTTCAATTGTGCAGGCCCAGACCTCTAGACTCAGATGATTTGTGTCCTGCTGTGCTCAGTCAGCCTTGCAGGAAGGTAGATTTGCTTCTGTATTCACACTGTCAATCTTCCAGGGATTTGAAAGAGGATTATCATTTATCCCCCACTCTCCTTCCAACAGGGTACTTAACAGATTTCCTCTTGTTCTCTTGCTTCTGCTTGGCACAGACAGGGCCACTACTGCTGGGAACTTCTGTTCTCCCCAGGGTGAAATAACATCGTCATCCAACCAAATTCTCCCTTACAAACCTTTTTTTTTTCAAATTTTCAGCAGCCTATGCGGGTCTATATTGAAATCTTTCCCACTGAAAACAGAGTTGACCCAGCTGGTGGCAACCTTTTTTCCACAGAGAGCAGCTGTTTTTGCTTCTTCAGCCTTTTCCTAAGAAGTGACACATTTTTGATATACCTTATGTGACTGACCAGGTCTCATTTTCCTTAGCTTCGAGGGGATGGAACAAAAATATCACGCACCAAAGGAAAACTCTCTTCCTAGAATGTTTCACTACAAATCTATACAAATTCATTAAGCAGCTACTTAGGAACCAGGCTCTGTGCTAGACCCAGTGGAAACACAAGTGAAACAGTGCCTGCTCTCCAGG